AATTAAATATTCTCTGGAATCTACTATCTCCTGCACCCATGTGAACCAGACAATTTTAACAGGGATATCAGAATGTACAGGATAAACACACATGTTAGTGAACTTATCAATGCACATCCATATAACATATAAACTAACAATAATCAAATGTAACTGATGTGCTGTCAGGACCAATAAAAATGACAAAGTCATTTCCATGGCTGTAGGAGTACAGGTACTTTATGTGGTCACATGGCTTATCAACAAATGGCACTAAGTATAATCTATTTCTAAATGATTCATCCCACCTCAAAGTAAAAAAGAGGAAGCAGCAGAAAAGGTTCAGGCAAGTGCAGTGGCTGATGGTGAACATGGAAAGCCTGCTGCCTAAGGAGAAATCAAACAGTCTGGACAAAAGGCAGCTGCAGAGAAGTATGAGGGATAAAACCCTGATGTTAACATCTCCAAGGATAGAGGAAGTTCTGAGGAGTGTAGAGGAAACAATGTGCCATCATACCTCAGAACTGCTTTCCTTATTGGAATAAGTAGGGCAGAAGTATCTCAGGGGTTTTTAAGACAAGCAGACCTTTTCCACCAAGTATAGAATTAAATTGTGGGACCATATGCTGTGGGAATTTATAGGTGCCAAGTGGGCACCTATAAGTGGGTTAAACGCAACATTTAAAGGAATCCAAAGAAGTCCATAGGCAAGGATGAAACCCACAGGCACAACCTCCATCTCAAGAGATCTCCAAACTGCAGATTGCCATATATTAAGAGGTATATGAGGGGCTCTACATTGATGTGGGCTCTTCAAATACCTTTTTTATGTGCATCCACTACAGCTCTGAGGTTAGAGAGACCCAGCAGACCTCCCACCTGGCCCAGGGTCAGCATAAAGCATAGCACTGCTTTTTTGAAGTAAGTAGCTTTTGAATGCAAAACCACATAAAATCTAGCTGTCCACCTAGGATTTCCTTAGTCACACTGCTCCTTCTTGTCCTTTGAGTGAGGCAGAGGATTATCTAATATGTTGTAATTAAATCAGAAATGCAGTTACTGTTGTCAAAATATGAGTCATTTTTTCATGCACAGATCTGACTCCAGTGACACAGTTGCAAAGGCATCTTTTCAAACTCTGGATTCATTTTTTCTTCTGAGCTAAGTTGTCAGCAAAAACTGCTTTGCAGTGAGTGGCAATCAATCCAGCCTTGTCTCTCAACAAGTTAAAGAGTTTTGACATAGTGTGATTCTTATCTTAGAGGTTTTCTTATGAAAAGAAAATTCAAATGCTTTTTGAAAGCGTACTTTTAATAAAATCATCCACTTTTAGAAAGAAAAGCTCTATGCAAAGAAGTAGGCTCTTTGCCGCAGCACCTCTTGAAATTTCAGTAATATTGCCATGCATGCACTTGGAAGATGCATTTCTTCAGTTTCACTTGACATTCTTGACATTTTTCACTCCCTAATACAGAAAGCAGTGTCAGCCAGGATTTGCCAGGAAATATACCCACTGGTATATGGTACACCATCTCAGTGAAGTATTAGCTGCTCAGCTACTGCTTGCTTATATCTTTTGTTACTTGAATAACAAGGATTATGAATTATTCAGCTACAGTATGAAATGGATAAATATGATACATTTCCAAGATTTCATAAAAGTTAAAATAGTGGGCACAGAAGAAAGGGACTACATTATGCAGAAGAAAAAAAAATGGGATCAGTATGAAGCAAGTATTTCCTAACAAAGAAGCCTATTAAATGGCTGAGAAGTCCCTTGTGGGAAGAGGTGGAGGCCTCATCACTTTAGATATTTAAAACCAGACTAGACAAAGCATTCATTTCTACAGGGGCGAAGGAAATGGATAAAATTACTTATTAGGCTTCTTCCTATCCATCTCTGATTTCTACAATTTAATACATTTTTTAAAATGCAAAACACATTTGGATAGCAAAAGGCAGAAAAACAAAAAATACATTTTCTAGTTGTAGTGCTGCCTAGCACAATGAAACTTGATTTAAAATTAAATTTATGCTAGCAATTCAGACTGCAAGATGACTTCTCTTTGTTTAAGGTCTAACACTGAAAGCTTTGCTACTGTCACACATGTCTCTACAAAGATGATTTACTGTCCCCAGACTGGGGATTTATTCTTTGTGCCAGAACTCTCTGTGAACTGTGATGTTTCAACTTTGACAGAGGTTGTTGATGCAAAAGAAGAATGGTGCTTTACAGAAATGTAGTGGAGTATGGGGTCTGTGCTTAAGGTCTGGCAGACTTATCAACTCCCTCAGGAATCTCCAGCACTAAATATTTACTGATGTCACTCAAAGGATAACATCTAGTCTGCTAGTATGAAAGTAAAAAGACTCTCAGTCTCTTTCTATCACTTTGAATATCTTAAAATTATTTCAAAATTCTCAGTTCTTCTTCCCCACATTTTTTTTTTTCCTCTCTTTTGTTTTTTTGGTTTTTTTTTTTTAATCCTTGAAGGCACTACTCTGTTTAAAATAAAGTGCACTGTCTTGCTTTGTAGAAATAAATATGAGAAATGAAAAAAACGCCAACCTTGAGAAACCTTAGGATAGTCAAAATGTTTAAAAGTGTAACACTGAGAATCTTTCACTCTGCCTGCCATCCATGCAGGAAGATGAAATCATGATGTAAAACTCCTGTGCAAGAAATCAAGATGCACAGCTGAAGTCAACTGTCCCAGAGGTAATGCAGGGGTGGGTATTGAGCCATGCTTGGGACAGCTCAGGTGCTCAGGCTTGGGACAGCCTCTCAGTAATTTTGAACCAGCCAAGACAAAGCCCCATGTTTTCCTTGCTTTGACATCAAAACTGTTTCAACAGCATGCTGCTGTTTACCCTCTGCACCCTGTTCACTCTTGCATCCTGGCAGCAATTTGCCATATTTTCAGTATTAGCCTTGCCCTGCTGCACTGGGCTGCAAACTCAGCGTGGTAGAAAAGATTGCTTTATTACAAAATACTACTTATCCACAGTTCATGTAGACTTGTTTCATGAGAGGGGGCAGAAAAGTAAGAGGAATAGTGAGTTGAATCTACCACTAGAACTGGTTAAAATTAAGAAAAAAACCGGCCCTGTACCCAATAACAAGGAGCTCCCTCGAAAAAAAATCTACCTTCTTGTGAACCTCCTCAGTTCCTCTTCCTCAGGTTAAAGTGTAGCCACTTAGGTGGAAAGCTGTGTATTCCTGTTCTGTGCTTGTCTATCTGGCTGTGTGCTGCTGGACTCCACAGAACCAGAGAATTCTCTGAGTTGGAAGGGACCCACAAGGATCACGGAGTCCAACTTTCAAGCGAATGGTCCATACAGGGATCAAAGCCTTGACCTTGGTGTTATCAGCATCATGCTCTGACCAACTTATCAGTACCTTCAGGTAATCAAGTCTGTTTGGAAGGGTCTATTTTTGGGTACATTGTTAAATACTGGCAATCCTGAAATTTGCCAATAATGTTATCAGGATAAGAGTTTTATATTAGCATATACAATTATCATATTAGCATATACAATTTTGTGGGCCTATAATCAATATAGCAGGACCTACCAAAGCTCACAATGCAGCTAAATCAGAGACATCAGCCCTTACTTTGGCCAGTCCTGTAGCTTTAAATAGTTAACATAACAGTGGGAGTATGCCCAAATCTAAGGATCCATCTAAATTAGAATGAAGTTCAATGCTTTGCCATTTGGAAAGTAAATGTACTCAACTGTAATAACAGCAGGAGTTAATTTAATTACCAAAGGAATTTTAAACCCCAGAAGGGTCAGTATGGAAAGCATTAAACTGTTTGCAGCAGCTCTACCCCAAAATATTTATCCAAAACAGCCCCTTTGTCCCAAGCATACACTAACCTCCCCTCTCTGCTTTGCTCAGCTTCTCAGTCAGCCCAACCCAGCCCCACTTCCTATGTAAGAACCCACAAGACTCTGTTAACCCACACTCTATTAATTGCCCTTTCGGCTCTGGGCTCAAGCCACACCTGCAGAGCTTCATCCCTCACCTTCCTCCTGCTCACAGGATGGCCCAGCCCAGCACATCCTTCCTAAGCTGTGCCCAGCAGCTGCTCCTGCATCATCCTGCCCCAGCCCTCAGGGGATACCACAATATCATACTGTACATGGGCAGCTGGAGAGGATAGAGTCTGCATCCATAGGATAAGCAGGAATTAAAAACAAAACAAAAATATCTCATTTGGTCTAAATTAATCCTGGAGTAATGAATTTCTAGCACTTTGTACTTGGTTGAGTCATGTCTGGGCATAGCAGGAATAAATCCCACTGAAAGGAAATTGCCTTGGTGTGCAGGCAGTATTTTACAACCTCAGGAGCCATTACTTTCCAAGGAGAGAAAAACAGTCAGAGAAAAGGAAGGAAAACCAGGCAGAGAAGTAAGACAGTCTTGATTTTAGCCCCATTTACATTGATTTCAGCACAGTTATTCCACTGCAGAGGACACAAGTTCTTTCAGTTCAAAGTCTAAAGGATGGTAGAGAATAAAAATAAGGAAAGAGTAATATCTGAAGTTCTTTTAGTCTCAGTCATACAGCAAAAATTCTTCTCCACAAATAATTGAGATTTATCTCCTAGCAATTCTCAATGGCCATATTGTAAGTCATATAGGTATTTTATGACCCCAAAGTTGCAATAGCATTCTCTGGCTGAGTGGCAGCATAGCTGTACAATCAATATGCTTTTGCACACTAGCATCTTTGAGTGGGTTAGAAATGCAGCACAGCCTGAAATAACAGCATAAATTTAATGGGCTGGCAGTCTGAAAAGTAGAGAAGTATAACAACAGGTGTATTAATTTGTGCTGTGATGTGTAACTGATACCACTGTAATTTTGCTACACTTAGGCTCTATTTTAAAACAGAGTACAGGTGCTGGAGCTAAGATAATCAGTTGAAAAGCAAAAGGAAAAGACAACAGGTAGCACTGTAGAGCATGTTGTGCAGAGGTAATTCACATATATCACACATTTGCAAAACCTATATCCTCTATTAGCCCTTTATTAGAGACACTATATTCAGACAAATTGAACAAATCCTAAAACATATAAATCCCTAACACTACAAATACATCTTTCCAAAAGTCATGAAGTTCTATAAAACCACATAGGTTTCTATTTCTTTTTGACATGATTGTTGTTGGATACTTAAAATTTATGAGTTCATAGATGAGTCAAACCTTGACTGGAGATGATTCCTCTTCTAACTACATGTGCTTTACCACAAAAATTAAAAACAACTACTTAGGAACAGCATTTTCTAGGAATTCTGAAAATATTTTAGGTATAATTATTGTCATTACAGAAAAGTCTGAAACATTTCCTTTAATCATTCAATACATAGCTCCATAACTCCATACACTTGAAAACTATGATTTGGCTGTAAGTTTTCTTCTCACATACGTGTCTATATGTACATACACACACATATATACGCACAATTAGAAAATGAGGGTCAAGAAAAGCAGGACCTTTACATTTCCACATTTTCTCTGTTTGCAATAGGAATAAAACTGCAGATACCACCTGTGCCATCTACAAAAATTGAACCAGCTTAACTTCAAATCCTCTTGACAGGCTCTGCTTTTCCCACTGTCATTTTTTTCATTCTTACCAAAGTCCATTTGCTCTAAGAGTATATTGTTAGGCCATACATTCAATTTTCATGCAACAAACCCCTCTCCCTTTTACACTCACTGCCCTGGTATGACTAAGTCTTGTGCCAGACCCAAAAACCAGGCTTGCTCAACTCCACTGCTCAACTCCACTCTGCTGTGCACAAGAAAACCAGTTTGCAGCTGCGGTGTTGCTAGACCTAGTTATACACATAAACATTAAATATTACTTATTTTTATGTTCTTCCAGTAGTTCAAAAAATATCCTAAACCATGCAAAATATAAGCAAGCCTTACAGGGCCTGGTTCTATTTGTGGAATGGTAAAGTATCAGTAATTCCTCTGAGCTCCACTAATGGAGACATGCTAATTGCCACATCTAGATTGCCATCAACTCACAGTGGTGACAGGGGGAGTTCAGAGTATTAAAACATTTTGAAGGACTATGCCTTAAACAAAAATCTTCCCAAAGTCACATTATCTCCTTACAGTGCTCATTCTGTGAACTCAGAACAAAAACAAACAAACAAACTGACAAACCCAAAAAAACAACCAAACAAAGCCCTAGTTAACCATTTCAGATTTTTTTCCTCAAATTTGTATTACTGACTGGAGATCTGTTTTCTAATGGTTGGGAATAAAAGTCTGTCTTGAGAGCTAAAGTCACATAAGCCAAATTCTCCAGCACAGCTACCACAGAGTAAATGTGCATGAGGTTGGTCATCCATAAGGAAGGACTGGTGGCTTGGAAATATCACTGGTGGTGGTGGAAATGCTGGGAGGGAGGGTAAGCATAACAGAACATAGCTAGAGAAATCTGCAGAGCTCTGAACCCTCAAAGGGAAGCCTAAGGTGTGTACACTGAAATAAGTGCACCTGGAGAAACGCAAGCATGTGGCTGGGTCCCCAGAAGTACTCATTAGTGTAGGGGGATACAGTATGAAGTTGGTATAGAATGTAATCTTATCCCCCAAAGAGTTGCAGCTGAACCAATTACAAAAGATTAGGAACAGGCCTGATCTTAACAGGCCACACCTGTAGCCAATAAGAACAAGTGGTATAAAAGAGTGGATTGGTGGGCTTAGGAGTTAGATAGCTACTGCAAGGACCAAGAACAGTCAGTGCTTAGAGGAACTGCTTACAGAAACATTGAGTAGGTACAAAACTCTGAGGATATGGAATCTTTGCACTATAATGATAATAGAACTCTTGATAAATAAGATAACACATTAGCAGGAATGTTTCACAGTAAGCTGCAACTGTATGACAAGGAAAAATGGGCTCCTCTTTGGGGAAAGTCTTCTGGAGACATGTTTTTAACATTAAAAAAAAATTGGCCTCCCACAAGTATTTTTGCTATAGCAAGAACTAAAAAAACTGGTAGTTTTATTCTTCATAGAATATTAATTGAGTGATTTAATTTGCTATAAATGATGATAGATTATAAATAACAGATATTTCAGAGCATGAGATGCTTTTGGTGAAGAGATGCAGTACTTGTGTCTGGAAGGTGTCTGCTACAGTAATTTCTTCTTGGGCGAATCCTACAGCATGAACTGACTTGATCAGTCCAATACAAAGCAAAGTCCTACTCACTTGAACAGTGGCGGCACCAGCAGGCACCTAGTTTGGTGATTTGGCTTTATCCCTTTCTAAAATTCAGCCCTTCAAAATCAACATGCAATTTTTATTTCCAGTTCTTAGCTCAAAAAATGCTTGAGGTGAGGGGTGTCAAATTCAGTTGGAGAAAAAGGGACCGTGTAACTGCTTCCATTTAGTGGGATGGACAACAAGAATAAATAAGAATACAAAGAATACAAAACCAGGATAAATCAACTATGCTACACATCTGGTAATACACCTTTTTTTACTGTATTTGTTATCAAGATGACATGCAGTCTAGAACTTCATGGCAAACACACTGGCAAAAGCCATAAATCATGAGAATAACAAGGCTCGAAGGAACAAGGCTTACAAAGACAACCCCAAGGGTGACTTTCTTGGATACCAGTAAATAAATCCCTAAAGGCAAGGAGCTAAAGTACAGCAGCCCTAGCAACCACACTAGCACCCGAATTGAGGTCTGGAAGAGCAAAGATGTGCAGTTCCACACTGTCCAGTTGTGGGACACAGTTGCAACAGAGTCAAAACTTGTAGGCCTGTAAAATTCCACCACGGGGGTTGAGTTCAGAGTCTGGGGACTTTCTCTTTGTACTTCCATGATTGTTATAACCAGGCAATTAGAAGAGGTGTGAGAAGGGCTAACTAGAGATGCCAGCCTTTTGGGAGTCAACAGCAGTTCTGTTGGGTTGTCTGGTAGGCACTTCTTTCCCTTTCCCCCACAAGCTAAATTCAGAAGGATGTTGTTGTCATCAGGAAGACTACTGACCTCATCGTCCGGCAGGCACGTTTCAAACCTGCAGAACGGGCACACTATGACTCCTTGTGGGGAATCACCAAAGTCTATGATCTTGCAAAGGCATTTGGCACACACTCTGTGACAGCACTCCAGCACTTTTGGCTTTCTCTGCCGCAGGTTATAGCGGTTGTAACAGATCTTGCACTCGAGCTCATCTGAGCTCTGGGTCTCCACAGACTCCTCTGGTAGCTGAGTGGTCATTTCTTCAGGTGGTTTTCAGGCTTGTGGAAAGAGAAGTCAAGGGATGAAGAGGTCACTCAGTCTTATCTTAGAACATTTTCCTATCACCCATCTCAAACAGAAAAAGAGGAGATGACATCAGTGAACAGCATCAGTAGACATCATCCATTTTCAGCTTCTGCTAGGGATTGTACACTGCATGTCCTTTACTCTGAGCCAGGCGTCCATCTGAAAAAGCCAAAGGGGAATTTTTGTTGAAAGCAAAGGCAAAAACAGAAAAGGGAAGGGGAAAAGCAAAGGGAAGGGGAGAGAGGAAAACCGAGAGGGAAATCTTTAGCAAATGAAATACACAAGTTCTACTTTTTACAAGCTCAGCTTCCTTTGCTAAAACTACCTCTAAGGTAGCTTTTTTCTGTGGCATATGAGGCCTATATAACAGTCATGATGATGAAACTTAGCATCATACTGAACAGCTTTATTTCAGAGTTGAAGCTCTGAGTGGTTTAGCCCATGAAGTTCTCAGCAGAAGCTACAATCTAATCACTGATCTGTGACCATTTATTTAAACTCTGGTTTCCCAAGGAAATGAGACTTGACACCTGGAGCTTTTGGTCTTTCCTGGTAACTTGTGAACCTGCTGTCCAATTTCAAACAAATCAGCAGAAGGGCCACAGTACTGAGGATAATTAAGTTGCTAAAAAGAAATGAGCACTGGCAATTGGGTAGAGGAGAGATATTTACAGTAAGCACCATTTATCCTGGGCAATGGGTGGTCAGCACACCCCAACCTCTGCTCTGAATGGGCAGCATGCTGCTTGTAGCTCAGCCAGAGAGGAGGGCAACCAGGGGGAAGCTGGTGATACTCTGGGGAAATAAAAAGTTTGGGGTAGTGGAACGGGTATGAAAGAGGTCCAGGGTTATTGCAAAGAGTTATGTGGGGACCTAGGTCAAATCTAGATTAGGCTTTGTTAATTTTTCTGTTTGTGGAGCAGCCCATTTATTTTCTCCACCCAGCTACTGGACATACAATTACAAAAATAAGTGTTCTTTAGCTTGCAACAAGTGTCTCCTTCAGTACGTGGCTGCTGGGATAAAGGCTAATGTGTCTTCCAAGGGCATTCACCAGATGCTCTGGTTTTCAAGAGTGTCATGGCTGTGACAGCTGTTTGACACCTCGGCTAAGGAGAGGTCTGTGGCATACTTGCACTGCTGCACTGCCATTCTGTGCAGCAGTTTTGCCACCAGACACATCTGCCTCACTTAAACAAACGTCATATTTTCTAACATGACTTCAGGAAACAGTGCATGTATTACAAACAAGGCATTAACCTGGAGTATGTGCTCTGGGGATTAATAATCACCAGCATTTACAAAACCAGTCTTATCTGCCAGAAGACAAAAACTTCATCCAGATTCTGGCACATGCTTGCTCAAAGAAACAGGGGCAGAACTGCATTTTGCAGGTTTTTGTGACAATGTTCACAGGGGTTTTTGGATGAGGGAAGAGACGAGGGTCTGACTCCATGTTTCAGAAGGCTAGATTTATTATTTTATGATATATATTACATTAAAACTATACTAAAAGAATAGAAGAAAGGATTTCCTCAGAAGGCCAGCTAAGAATAGAATAGGGAGGAATGATAACAAAGGCAGCAGTCTCGGACTCTCTGTTTGAGCCAGCTGGGCTGTGACTGGCGATTAATTAAAAACAATCAACATGAACCAATCAAAGATCCTCCTGTTGCATTTCACAGCAACAGATAATCAATGTTTACATTTTGTTCCTGAGGCCTCTCAGCTTCTCAGGAGGAAAAATCCTAAGGAAAGGATTTTTCATGAAAGATGTCTGTGACAGGTTTTCAAACATCCCTTCATTGCTAGACTAGCAAGGAATTGGCCACAGTCAAATGATGGGCAAAATCAGCACTTGTGTCCAGCTGCCTCTTGCATTATCAGTATCAGGCACACTGAATATGAAAAAGTGGCCTATTTAAAGAAACTTATTTATTGACTATTTGTTTTAGTAAATATGTGATTTCTTTCCCTTTCCATTGGGAAGTTATTACTCACTCCTAGAATTCAGATTTTTTTTTTTTTGAGGCAGGAAGCAACTCTTTTAAGCAACGTGCTCCTTCTGTCAATACATTTTACCTGCCAACCATCACTGAAGTCTCTTTCATGAGCCTCTTGTTTTTACTGTGCTTTAAGTATTTTCCATTTCTGTATATCCAGCAGAAGATAGAGAGATATGAGAGAGGTGGATATAAGTAACATAATTTGTAAAACTCACCTCCAAGATTTTAAAACAAAGATGTAAACACCAGACAATGCAGTAATGAAAAAAACATGACAACATAGTGAAAAAAAATACATCTTTCTCTAAAAATTGTTACAGATATGGCCCCTTTCCCATTCAATTGCTTCAATAACTCCTTTCCTGTGTCTGCCAATTTTTGTCTTTAGTTCTCTAAAGGTTTTCATCTCTGCCTTACTGTTGTTTTTATTATTTGTACTGTGGATATATTTGTGGCATGTTGCATCAGGCAAAACAAACATTAGACCATCCACAATTTTCAAAGTGTACAAGCTAGACATCTTCTATGACACGAAAAGGACATCTTTTACAGAACTTACAATTTATCATTTATTTTCTGTTACACTGTGTGCTAACTTATTAATTTCTACTACTCCTTTTATTTCATTCCAAATATCATCTTCTAGATGACTTTTAGGTAGATATAAATGTCATGAGATGCTAACTTTCCAAAGGATGAACAAACCACAAAATGGACCAAAAAAAGTGAAATGCCAGCCTACAGGAAGGCAAAGAACTGCTGTAAAATTAAGAAGCCAAACAAAAAAGAGATGGTTCTGGACTTTCACATCTTGGGTATCATTTACATTCTGTACCTGTGGGGAATCAGGGTTGCTAATAAGGTACTGTTAATGATCTGCTGGCAAACGTTGTCCTACAACATAAAACTAGATTCCTGATTAACCAAAAATCTTCTGATATATGTGTCTCCTTCTCATGGAAAATTATGACCTTTCTTGCAAAACTTCTAACTCAAAAGACCTTGATATTTTAGTGTTTATCCTTCTAATTAATATTTCCTATTGGCTTTTCACAAACCCAATCCCCTTTCCAACCAATTCTATTTGGACATGGATCACCTCTCCTCGAAACAGGTTTCAAGCTGAATGTGTTTTCCTGATTTTACCACCTTTAAGTGCTAATTTTTGACATTAATACAAGGAATAACAAGTCTCTGGGACTAGCAATGTCCCAGTTGCTAAACTGGGATCATTAGCTCAATTTCCAGAGCACAGTGATCCTCCTATTGTAGTTTGTGTCATGAGCTCTTCTACAATTTTTTCAAATTCTTTTTTTAATATAATGTACTGTACAAGAAAGAGCGATTTTCATTGTCTTTCTCACTTCACAGAGTCTCTAAAAAATGTCTGTCTGTAATAAAACATTATTGATTGTTTTTCCTTCAGCTAACTTTAGATGTTGGATTTCTCCTTATGTGTTTTAGTATGAATATTGCTTATTACTATTCATTATTTTCCTTTGAAAATTAAAATTTAATCATTAGTTCCTATTAATGCTTTTCATGCATTTTTTACCCTTTCAGCTCTATGGAGGTTTTAATGCTTCCTCTCTCGGTTTTGCTTTCCTGATTTCTTATGGAAATTTTTCCTTCTCAATATCCACTTTCCTGATCTTTGTTTTTCTCTCCTGGGAGCTGCCACCTTTTTGGGTTTAATTAATGCTGCCCTACTATTATATACATCACATACACTAAAAAATTCTTTAATATGGAAACTGAGGCTTTTAAAGAAATTTGGCTTCAAATAATTCCTATTTCTTGAGAAAATGAAGCATTTCTTGAGAAATATGGCCAGCTACTCCTTCAAGCAAATTCTGCTCTATATCAAAGATTTTCTATCTGGTCTTTTGCATGCTTCCCAGGTGAGTATTTGCTGGAAGCAGGCAGGATAAGGAATTAAAGAAAGGAAGGGGTTAACTACTGCCCCTCTGAATCCTGCTCCCTCACCAAAAATGTCACAATTCACATACTTCTACTTGTTGAGTGTTAAAAGCAATATGATGCATGGGAAAAGAGATAGTGTCTGTATGATCATGTTTTATCCTCCTCTTTGAGACACTTTTTTTTTTATGATGCCAAAAGAAGGCATGTCCCTATTATGTGCTCCATTAATATTTGGGCTATTTTGAATATTGAGCTGCAACCTGCATGTTCCTTCTGACCTTGAAATCCAGGGGCAGTCATGATAAATCTAACCTCTTTCACATCAAGTAGGAAATTTGTAGTCACTGGAGATCAACATGAAGCCCCATGTCGAATTTTAAAGCACTGTGTGTATTTTTATTAATTCTGGTATTTGTCATGATTTTAAACTGCTTCTTATGTCCAGCTTTTCACCTGAACCTAGACTTGTCTCATCTGCTTGTTTGATACCAAGACACAAGTTATAACTAGGGAAATTTCAATTACAGATTAGAGAAAAAAATAGTACACAAGTTACTCAAACACTGAACACATGTCAAGACAGATGTAAATGAAATCTGCAACCTTACAGATATCCTTGACTGGATACAACTCTGGTCAAGCCACTCTGCCTTGGAACTGAGCCCTGCTTTGAGCAAAAGGAACTGGATTTTCCTGGAGATTCTTTCTAAAACAAATTATTCTAAGATTCAGTGTTTTGCTATCCTGAACTCACTCTATGTGATGTGTTTGAAAAGCTTTATCTCTTAGTGAATAAAGAATCAGACTGGCAATTGTTTACGTAGATAAACAGCTCTCTTAGATAATAATTCTTTCATTTAACATATGAATTAATTTTTACAAAACCTACGGTCCTTCTGCTAGCCTTCCACAGAATCTATCTGATGGGGTCAACACAATGCAATTGCAGAACATTTTATTCCTGTGAGTATTATGTAGCACACAGCAGCTTTCTGAACAAAATATAAACTACTAGACACCACTATAAACTACTAGACATGCCCAATGATGACAGTATCCTCTGCAGTTTATTCAAGAACAAGCACATCTGTTATCCTGTGACAAGCACTTGCCTTTTGTAAGAGTCCTGACTAAGCACTGCAGGAGTGAATCCATCATTCCTGTTGCTGCTTGAGCTCTGACTCCCTCTCCTTCCATCCCTGTGCCACCCATCCTGTACGTTATGAACTCCTCTGCTTGAAACTTTTACTAAAAAGGGAGAAAAGCTGAAGACAGAGAGGCATCTTCTGCATGGTAGAAGACACAAGCAGGCTATACAGTGCTCCATGTGACTGCTGGAGGGCAGACCCAGAATCAGGGGGAATAACTCCCCTTGTGGGCGAGAGGACGTGACCCACAGGACCAGACTGAATCAATAACAGCAAGCTCTTATGTATGACCCCACACATGGCCAGACTTTTTTCCCAGACATGGAAAGAAAGGTGAATGGGCTGTGCAACATGATATGGTCCTTCTTTGCACTCATCTATCAAACACTGTGTAGACAAAGTGTTCTTATGAGAGGCCAGAAGCGATTACTTGTAGATGAAGCTCTCAATATTGGAGCTCAGTCATGCTGACAGGGCAAAGTAGATGGGATACTTGTGCCTCTCTTCCCTAATGGAAGATCATCTTTGCCCAGTTCATCAAACCAATGCTTTATCATTCATCTCTCACACTTTTTTTTTTTTTTCTGTGAAGGGAATTTGCCAGTATTTCACACATAACCTAAAATGAATATATTAGCTCAGCAACTTCCATAAGACATCATCCATCATCTAGGACCTACTCAACATGTGATATTTTGAATGGTTTTAAAAGTTGCTTTTAAATACAAGCTGAGCATATTTAGGAAAGAAGAGAAGGAAAAAAATATAGATAAATAAATATAGAGAAACTTACTTTCCATGAAAAAGAACTCCTTGGAAAGGTTCACTTGCGGGGAATACAAGAAATGCCTTTTCTTCTCCACATGGGCAAAAACTGGTAGAAAGGAGGGAAACAAAATTAGTAGAGCAGGAATACAGCTGGGAGACTTTTCAGTCTATTTTCTCTGAAAGAGAGGAAGGAGTCCAACTTCTCTAGTTTGGATAGAAACAGCCATATGTTGAGATTTCTGTTTAGAGAAATATATTGGGTAAATCTCATTTACTAAAATTATTTCTGTAACATAATCCAGTTATCTTTACAGATCTGTTGTTGATTTTAAGCCTCTTTCAATATTATGTGCTAAACACTCTGAAGTGCTATCTCTTCTAGCAACCACATATTCACAAATGTTAGCAATTCACTAAAAAAAACCAAACCCAATCTAAAGGCAGAGCATCTGAAGAGATAAACTGTGCTCTGAAAGAAGAGTTGTAAAAACATATTGAAATACTTTCCTCATCCACAAATGTCACAGAAGCTCTTTGATAGTTTCTACTTTTCCAAAGACAGTGCAGTCTCTTCTCCAGCACAGACCAGAAAGTAACCATCTCCTGTGGGCCACTGCATTCATGTTGCATGGAGGAGCTTTGCTGCATTCTGACTCAGCAGGAAATGACCATCGCACTAGATTTTTCCAGCTTGTGCTAAGCACAATGCAAAAAACCCCACCCCAAACTGCTTTACTAATCTTACATTTGAATAGACAACGTTCAAAGTGCCAGCAGCTATCACATGTTCAACCTGTTTCATGCCACAATTCTGCTAACACTGGATGGGTTTTAACAATGGGCATTTCCCTGTCAACTCCAATCAATGAGAGAATTTGCACAGGAGTTACAGAATGTGATGTACTGATCCATGCTTGGCTTATGGTCAGCTCTGTAAACTGCTATGAAAAATGCCTCCATTCTTTTCACAAAAGCTTAGTTTCCAACAGCATAGGTAATGAGGTTATTCCTCCAATAACTATGCTTGAAAGAGAAACCCCACAACATATACAGCAAAAAAGTTGTGTATTATTAACTGCTGAGGCTAATATAAAAGAGAAACATTCTTAACAGAAGTTATTGTTACAATGTTTAGAGTCTTTGCTTGATCTCTCTCAATCCTCTACAATGTCACAAAAATGCAAAACACTTGAAATTATAATTTTTCATATTTGAATTGGAATTCATGGGTCTCTAATTATTTAGTATGGGAAGTCATGTAATATTAATGTGCCATCTCATACTAAAAGAAAAAAATAAACAGTCTTTCTTAAAAATTATTATTCTTCCCCCCCATCCTGTTAAGTAATCAGGGAGATTTTAATGTAACAGGGTTCACTTAATTCAGTGTTTGACACAGGCTCTTAGGGTACTTTTTACCTCCTTTGCCTGTACGTATTATCGACTCCATTTCCTATTAACAACATAATTTGCAATACTTTTTTGTTATTCCAATAACTCACATTATGTGTCAGGTAGTAGTGGAAAATGGTATGAATATACAGCAAATCCCTTATTGAAACCCTACTATTCTCAATTACTTACTTTCTAGCTACAGGCTACTACAGTATTTAAATGGATCCTGCAACTGTGGTGTAGAAAAAAATGTTTTATTATTTAGGTTTGTAGGCAAAACCAAAACCTCCTCCAATATTTCTTAAGAAGAAATTTTCCCTCATATAGAATTCATGAGCTATTTATGCAGTAATATGCCGAGTGACTACTCAATGTGACATATGGTTGTGGGTTCCTTTGTAGCTGTTTAGGAATAAAACTAATAAAGGACAAAGCATCTGAGCTTCTATTAGCTGTCTTGATTTAAACTGACTTAATTAGATTAAATCAATAAGTAAAAAGAGATGGCTTAAAATTTGTATCTAAAATGGTAACATTTAATTTTGGAAATATGCAAATTAAATAGAATTATTCCTTTTAAATTGTTTTGAATTCTTTCACAACCTGCTTAATGGGCTGTTTAGGCATTTTCTCTTGCAGTTTTCTCACTGCCACTGGCTTTTCCTTTAGGACTCTGAAATCAGTAAGCAATCTACTCCAGTTAATATAAACTTCACAGCAGAACTCATGACCTTACTACTATTTCAGGGAAAGGTTAGACATTCTCCTCTTTCGTAGTAGGGGTGGGTTTTGGTAGCTTTATCAAATAAAATAGAGTTCTGCATCTCTGCTTTAGTGCTTGTGCCCTTTAGGAGCTCTTCTGAGAGCTGAACAGACTGTAGGACATTGGTTCTAGAATATGACTTGAAAAGATACAAAATTATAAATAAATAAAAAGCTTCCAAGTATTGCTTAATTTAGGCATAAATATTTAATCATTTGGCCTACAGATATGTCTAGCATTTATCTTTATATTAGACACTATTAAAAGCCAATATGATTTTGTATTAGGCTTCAGAACACATGATGAGAGCACCATAGAATTTTACATCTTTGCTCTGCTTGCTACTGTGTGCTTGAATGTAAGTAATTAAAATCGGTCCAGAAATGCAAGAAAATAACTTCTGCTTTTCAAATAAACATTACTTCTAATAGAAGATATTAAGTAACATACTCAAAATGTAACATCCCCAAAATATAACAGAATTCTCTCTCTTTGGTCATATATTCTGTTATATAATTTGGGAGAGACCAGGTGAGGCAAAATGACAGAAAATTTATCTTGATTACATCATTCAGTGAGAAATTCCTCTCCACACAGGGGAACAATTTTAATGCATTACAGTAAGTTCCAATTAACCTTCAAAATAAGATTTAATAGAAAGTAAGCGTGGCATTAGCTTTGTCCTAATGGAACTGAAAACAACTGCAGAATAGGCTAGAAAAGAAGTTGTACTTCTTGTTTTTTCTATTGTCCTTAAGAAAAATCCACCTAATACAAGGATGTTTAACTTTGTATATTCTGTTTCAGGTATTTTTGACATGACTATATACAAAGATTTTACTATATTGTCTATTTTATGTTGATAGTGCAAACAGGAAATAAAAAGGGTGGACATTATACAGGGCAGCACTGATACTGGATTTTATGTATTCTTTACATAAATTTGGTAACAAGGTTTTCTGCTTTAACTACTGCTCAGAATTTGCATTTGATCTTGTTCAGAAAGGAAATGGTAAAAAACAACTGCAGTTCCTTCAGTCACAAGAATATTGAAAACTCTACATCAAAATCATCCAAATCCAATACAGATTTCCACTTACAAACAACATTTTTAGACCTAGTCTTCTACCATTGTGTCCTATTTGAAACACTGGCAACTAAAGTCTGATCCAGCTGATGCTGAAAATAGGCCCAATAGCTTGAAAAGTGAGGGGTCTGAGGAAGCAACATTCTAACGTGGCTCAAGTAAAGTGTAATTTTAATATTTCATTTAGTTCCCCTAAAGCATGCACCTAAAAATACTTATTTCTGGGATAAAGATTATTCTTATTTTAGTAATACAGCAAAGTTGGCATATAACCTCTCCTCAATCAACATTCTTATATCTACTATTATTATTCTTATAACATCATTATCATCACTAGAATTTCAATGTAACTAAGAATTTTTTAAAAAAATCTTATCGATGTATTTAAAAAAGAGCAAACACAAACCCCTCAGATGCTATAAAAAGCACAATTATTAGTAGATCTGGTTGACATGCAGTAAAGTTGTATGTCTTCAACAGCGTTCCTGGGAAATGAACAATCCTAACAGACAAGTGTCAGCAGGGAGACATTAACTTTGACAGCAACATGTACTGCCCTTTTACAACAGGCTTGTAGAAAAATTCTGTTTGGCCTGATTTGTACACAATATGCAAAAAACAGTTACTGCATGCACACCCACCATTCTAGACACAGGTATGCGAAATAAAATTGCAGGCACTGAGAAAGCAGATGGGAGGAGGGAAATTAATTTGTGTCAAATGACAGGCAGAGCTTTTATTCTATTACTTTAAGGAATACAGGAATCATGTGAAACAAGAGCAGCTTTAAGTACTAGTCTGGTAGTATCTTTGTAGCTACTGGGGATGATCTGGGAGTGTCAGAGCTCCATAAATTGCTTCATCACCAATGTCAGAATCGCTGGAGTGTTCTGCTGATGAGACTTGCTTAGCTCAGATTAATGCTTATAAAGTAATTAAACTTCTGGGGGACTGATATGAATTGTTCAGCTTTAACGTGTTATTTAGCAGGGAAATGTGCTATTTTTTTTACTCATTCTGAACTGTCAGTGACAGAGTTGAAGTGCTACTAGATGGAATATTTCAAGCAAAGGACAGAGTCCTTATGGGCTGAGACTCTACATACAGCGCCCTTTGGGCTGTATAAGAGGAGCAGAAAGAAGCTGCAATTTATTCATAGGATGTATCAGAATCCAGTTAAGAATGCAGTGTATCTCCCTCCCATGTGTTTGTGATAGAAATATACTGCCACAGCAGCAGATAATCCAATCAGGTCTAAATCGGATCAATAAGAACCTGCAAAAAATCAGAAAATCTGCACTTAGGAAATGTGCTTCAGAAACAGCTGCATAATTCTATTCTGGGACAAGGGCAGCCTGGACTTTACTAATTTTCCATCATTCAAAAGAGTTACACTGGTTAAGTCTCACAAACTCAATGAAGGGTATGAAAGTGTCTTTTCTTTTGAGCAGAGCTACAGCATTTTGATGTCATTTGCAACTACAGTGGTTGAAAGGTTAAACGAAATGAACGTTTGAAGTCTGCCAGTCGAGCATATTCAAAATACAAAGTGCATGAGAGGAAAGCATCGCTTCAGAAATTTTGGAAGTTATCAAGGCATATTCAGATTGTATATTAAAATAATTTAAAAAACCAAACCCCAACCAACACACAAAACAGAGAGAAGGTACCTAAAATGGGATTCTAAAGGTTTAAAAAGCAACACAGTCCACAGAGAGCCCTTACACTTTCCTATTAACCCATAAATTTAATTTTGTGTAAATTAATAACTGAGACCAGGTATTGGTATTTTTTTAACTGGTAATAATCAATGGGGATTTTAGTTTTAAGTGTTTTGCAACATGTACTTCAAGACTAGCAA